ACACGGGCAATGCTCTGCATCCCACGGTGGAGCAACCAGGGCTGCAGCCAAGGGACCTGCAAATCTGTGGGCTTACCGCTCTGCAAAGATTTTGGGGACCCTTGATACCCACAGCTCTCCTACCATGACAGGTCAACACAGGCAATGCTCTGCATCCCACGGTGGAGCAACCAGGGCTGCCTCTCCAGCAGAGTCCAGCCAGCAAACCTCGTGAGCTGCTCCACACCATTTGCTCTGCGAAGATCCTTTGCAGGCAGATGCTCAAATCGCTCGCTTGCCTTCTCACTGCGAGTGCTACGAGATCTCCCGCACAGAGGAGATGGGCAAGACACGGCCCTGGGCCCTCCGGGGACAAAGGACGGATGCTTTGTGAAGGAGTCTGGTTTCACTGCATGTAGTCAGGTTAAACATCTGGCGTGAATAGACTGAGCCATGGACTGTATGACACGGGCTGAGGAGCTGGGCTAGCTGCTTCTCGGTGCAGACAGGTAAATGGCTAAATGAAAGCTCAGACTTGATGTTCCCAGAAGCAGAGACCCGTGGGAGGTTCTGGTGCTCAGCTGGCACAGGGAGCCCAGCTCCCCTCAGTGCTTGCAGGGTGCACCTTCGTTTAATCCTGAAGGGTAATTTACCCCTGCTGCGGGTGGTGGAAGGCTGACAGGTCCTGCAGCAGCACCGGGGCAAAGGAGCGGTATGTGCTGCCATGAAGGGCTCAGCAGAGCCAGCAATGGGAGTGCTGTGGGGGCCACCAGCGTTGGGGGGGAGAGGTCTCTGACCCCCTGGACTTTATTTCTCGGACCCAGAGATAAAACTTAAAAGTCAAAAAACTCAAATGTGCACTAAAGAGTTGTCCCATCCCAGTACGTGTGTAATACAGAGCCACATAAAACCTGAACCTCAGACGTTATCTTCTAATTCAAGGAACTTTGATTTTACTTTTATATTCAGCAAAATGAATTCTCCTTTCTGTAATTAATATGCTGCTCAAATGGATTCTTAATTACAGATAAATCACGAATCTACACACTCAACTGTTATGCTTTTCAAGTAATAAAAGAGATCATTTGTCTTCCTCAGATGAACAGAGACCAACTAGCACAGCATTTCCCCCTTTATGAAGAATTCATTTGCCTCAGAAAGAAAGTCTTTAAAAAAACATTGCAAGGATTTCGTGAATAGGGGATCAAAGCTCCCACACTGCTGGAAACCATTTTTGCTAAAAAACATGTGAGTAAAGGAAAAGAAAGTAAAAGTTTTTTGGTAGTGGTTGGGATTACAACACCCTTGGGAGGGACAGGGACGTGGGGTCAAGAAGTTGTGACCAGGTTAGCAACACAGGGAACAGAAGAGGAGGACAAAGGAACAGAAAGTGGAAATGGACAGATGAATGAGGAAGCATGTTTCTTTGCCGAAAGAGAATGGATGCTACATCAATTCATACTGAGAGCTAAAGGATGAGGGCCTGTTAATGGATTGGGGGACACAGCAGGGATCAGAGGTCATGAGTGCACTCTGCTAGGCTAATTGACTGTTATGTGCATATTAGCGATGATGATGTAGTAGGATAGTGGGACATGGGGGGAGCAGATATGCAAAAGTTCCACTGACAAGAGCCGTTCTGTAATTCCTCTCTTACACCTGCTAAACAAATGCACACACAGACGAAAGACAGTGGCCTTAGCTGGTGTTCTTCAGGAGTGGAGCCCACGGTGACAGGTAAGCATCTCTGACCTGATTGTGCATGTCATGAAATGAACTCGCTCACCAGATTTGCTTTGCAATCTTATGGGGTTTTATTTCAGTCCTACATGTTGGGGCAGGGCCCGATGATTTGACCAACGCATCTCACCTGGGCTGCTTCTATACCCTCGCAGAGGTCCCCCGAGCATCCCTGCGGGATGGGGGCTGCTTCGGGGTCGGGAGGGTTCCCTGCTATTAACCACCTGCCTGTGCCTGCTGCGGTCCCAGGGACTGTCTGCAAGAATAACAAATGAAAGGGGAAAAACATACAGCCGAGGCTCTCCCCCACATCCCAGTCCAGTCTGCAGGCATCCTGCCAGAAGCTCCAGGCACAGCAAGGCTAGCGCTTACACTCCTCTGCTATAATTTTATACCAGCCCGGGTGTGTTGGAAGCACTGTGTTCCCCGGCACGCACAAGCACGTGCAGGGGGGTTAATATAAAGATCATGAGATGGTCCAATAACTGCTGTGTTCACCCTGTCTGAGTGTGGCTGTGGCTGGGGGGGTGTTGATGCCCCCCTTAGCTGGCACAGGCAGCTGTCCTGTGTTTGCGGTGGTGCAGATGGAGTGAGAACTCCCTGGCAGGAAGCACTGTGCTTTCTCTTCACTGGTTTGGATCAATTATAGGGAACAAAGCAAGTCATCCTTTGCCTTGTGGTGATTCTGCAGCGTGCACCTGAGAGGGGTCCTCCACTGGGAGGCTTTAGGTCACATTGCTCAGCAAAGCAGCAGCAATGCAGAGAGTGAAATTGGCTCCAGTCGATCCAGATATGGGATCAGTTTTAAAGTCAGGTGCAGTTTTGAGTTGACTCTTGTGGAATCAAGATCCAGCCTGGTGAGCGCTGCTAATAAACCAGGATTGCCCAGGTTACATCAGGCTGCTGGAGCATTAATCACCACATCCGTGGTGGGGCTGAGTTGAACAGCCCGTGCTCCTGCACCACGCGCACCCTGCAAAGGCCTCGCTGGTCAACTGGTGTCAGCGCTGACGTGGCAATTAGCACCGAGTAATTGATAGAGCAGCACCAGGGAAGCAAAGCTAAACCCGATGCTGTGACAAGAGTAGTTTTGCTTTGCGTTAAGTTGCTCCATTGTTGTTTTTCACTGACTTCTCCCTTTCACCCCTGACACATGACAGGACCCCTCACAGCCCAAGTCCTGGTGCTGGTTCCTCCGACAGCTCCAGGGCAGATTGACCTCAGCGTACGGCAGCTTGGCCCCCGGGGCTGCACATGCTGGAAGATGGGAGTGTGTTGCCGGAGGCTCCCTTGCTCCCGGCGCACAGCTTTCTGCCTGACTGGCACCTGGCGCTGCCGCCTCGGGAGCAGAGCTCCTTATTCCTTACACAAAGGGATTTCCCAGTCGACTGATGAGGAGAATATTTCCCGTTTCCTCACTCTTGAATCTGCTGACAGCATCTCTTGGTGAGTGATGGATACTGGAGATGATTTATAGTTCTTTGTTACACAAATGCCTCCACATTCTTCCCTGTCCTCTCGAAGCAACCATTAGTCACTTTTCCCAGCGGAAAAGCTTCAGCCCGGGAACGGCTTGAAGGACACAGCATCAAGTCACTCTCCCGCACTGGCTTTATTCGCTGTAAATACGCCCCAAGCCATTGCCGATGAGGGAAGCATCAGCGTCGTGGTGCTCTGCACCCACTCAGGTCTTTGGGCAGCTGTTTCCACCCATCTGCTGGGAAGTCAAAAGGTTGGCAAAGAAGCAGCGCTATAAATCAGGCAGATAGGGGCTGCGGGGAGGATTGCCTTTATGCAATTTTTCATCTCAAAGTTTGTTATTAAAGTAGTGAACGTTACAGGAGGAACAGCCATTGCCAGTATCTCTTAGGGGTCTCGGACTTCGGCAATGTAAACGTTTAGACCCTGAGACTTTTATTACATAAAATAGTTTTTGTAACGTTGTTGTTGCTTAATTGGATTTCTGTTTGGTTTACTTCAAGAACACCAGGAAAAATATCTGTATCTTTTGATCTGATACAAAGTACTAGGAGACTTACCTGTACTATTGGGTCTCACAGTTTGTCATAATGAATAAATACATGAATTAAATAAATTCTGATCTTAATCTATGCAAAGTTTCTTGACTGCCCTGAGCAGCTGAGCCAGTTGCTGGGTTGCTCCTGCCATTGCCTCTAGCGTTTCTCTCTTCAAGTACAGTTGTGAGGCCGGATTGTATCAGTGGAAATCAGGGATTAAACAAATTAACTGGGCACATTCCTGACTTTAATTTAGGTGTCACTAGGACTGCCAACCAGCTTCACGTCAAACGCATGCCGGAACGCTCTGTTGATGCAGGTCCTAAAATCAGAAGGGTGGTACAGGATTGAGCCCTAAGTATTTTTTAACGAAGTGAGTTTGACTCAAACTAAGAGAGAACATTCCTCCACTTCCACAGGGAAAGGCAGAACCACTTGTTGCACATCACAAACAGAATCCATGGTCAATCCACAAGGAGAATATAAACCAAGGCATGATACAGGCAATGAAAATTGCTAATAAGCCACTGGTTTACCTCCTCAGAAATACCTAGGGCCTAAGTTTACATCTCTAAGAGGCAGAGTGGAGCTGATAATCTCTACTTGCCGTCGCTGTGATGGATAGAAGAGAGGTCACTCCTCTGAGACCAGCTAATGATACTGTAAATCACTGAACCCCAGACATATGTGAACAAAAACTTCCCACAAAAGCTTTTGTCCTCTGATTCAGCTGAGACGTTCCTTAAAAACAGCTGAAGCAGTCAGCACAATTAACTCGCCATCAGGAACACACAAAAGGACAAAATGCTGCTGCCAGCCTATAAAGATGTAGAACAGTTTTACAGCTCATATGCCGGATTTGATAGTTCTGATTCGTTTAGACCTCATGCATATGATTAAAAGTTATTAAAAAAAAAAGGAAACAGGACATCAACAAACACCACTCTGCTGTGGGTCCCTCCCAGCCGGCCCCCTCCAGAACCCACCACTGCAGCAGAGCAGTAACATGCACCGCTGACCCTGAGCCCCTCTGGGGCGTCTCCCAGCGGAGAGGCTTCTCCCGGTGCCCCCGGGCCTGGTGCGGCCTACCGCGGAGGGCGGCCCGGTGAGCCTAACCGCGCGGTTGCCATGGCAGCGCGGCGCCATGACATCCCGCGGGGTGGTTGCTATGCTACTTGGTCGGATCCGCCTCCGCGCCGCCGGAAGTACTCACTACTTCCGGTGAAGGGGCGCCGCGGGGAGTGTTGGGCGTTGTGCGGCAGCATGGAGGCTCAGGAGCTGTTTCGGCGGTTAGGTGCCGGTGCTCGCTTTGATGTGCGGCGCTTCGGGCAAGACGCACGGCGATTCGGGGTGCGATGCCACCGTAGGGGGGAGGCTGGGATAGGTCTGGGCCCCGTTCCCTCTGCGACACGGGCCCGCGGGGCCCATCCCTTCCGTGCGGCGCGACCCCGGGCCTACCTGCGGCCCGGCAGTAGCGGTCCGGGAGGCGCTGGGATGTGGGCAGGGCCATCTCACCGTTTTCCCTGCTTTCGCCCGCAGGTGATGAAGGGGAGTGGCGGCGGCGGCGTCTCGCTGGAGAGCCTCGACTTCTTTGGGCGCAAGGAGGGAGCCCCCCTGGGGTCTGCCGAGGAGAGCTGGGGGCTCGCAGGGGCTGGCGAGGAGGTAAAGGGTGGAGAGCAGCAGAAGGATGGAGCAGGCAATAATGATGGAAAGGTGGCAGGAAAGAGAAAAAGAACCGCAGAAAGAAGTGAAGGAAAAAGAAAAAAGAAAAAGACACGAGGTATTTATAGCCTGATGAAGTTCATGCTTCTTACTTATTTCACGCTGCTTTAAGTCTGCAAGTACTGTAGGTCATTTTACCAGAATTGTCCTGGTTTCAGCTGGGACAGAGTTAATTTTCCTTCTAGTAGCTGCTCTGTTTCAGATTTGGTATGAAAGGAATGTCAATAATGCATATTGTTTTAGTTGTTGCTAGGTGATGTTTATAGTATTCAAGGAATTTTTTCAGCTTCCCATAGAAGCTGAGAAGGAGCATAGACAGAACAACAGACCGGCCAATGGAATATTCCATAGACATCCCACTCGGTATAGAAATGGGGGTTGTCTGGTGGGGAGATCTGGCTTCAGATCGGGATGGTCAACCAATTCCACGGGTGGTGAGAGTGACTTGTGTCTTCTATATTTTTTTACCATTATTGTTGTTGTTTCCCTTTTCTGTTACTGTTCTATTAAACTGTCTTTATCTCAGCCCACAAGTTGGTTTTTTTCCCCTTTCCCCTCCTTTTATCTGTCTTCTCCCTAATCTTCTCAGGGGGTAAAGCTGGGTGAGCAAGCAGCTGCGTGGTCCTAGTTGCTGGGGTTAAACCACAACAAGAATAAAAGAGGCTTTTGAGTTCTTTGGCTGGCCTGTGTCAGAGCTGATAAAATATTTGGGCCAAGATTTGGTGTTAAGGCATGGGTATGTGGTTGCCATCCTTCTGAAGTCTTCGTTAACTTTAGTGAGAATGAGAGAAAAAAGGTTTGGAAATGCCCTTTTTTACCAAATAATTTTTGTCTGGATTTTACTAATGGAAATTTTATTTTTTTTAAAAAATTCCAGAAGCAGCATCAATGCTGGAGTTGTCAGAAAGTAATGGAATAAAGTGGATGTCCTCTCTGGAAGCAAAATTCGATGATACAAAAGACAAAAAGCCTACTGCAGAAAAACTTGAACGCTTGAGAAGAGAAAAGGTGGGGCCATGGAGTTCTGATGTAGCAACAGATCACTTGGTTTCTGTGGGTGTTTAATCAGAAAATTGAGGTTCATTTATGGTACTTCCTCTTGAGAGGAGGGTGATTGAGTATAGGGAAAATAACCAGAAGCAATGTATAACTATATGTGTTTAGTTTTGGGCTGTCAAGGAAAGAAAGAGTTTGTCGTTTGCCTTTTAGGTAAACCGCTTCAGAAATCGACACAAGATTAGTATTCAAGGAACAGATCTTCCTGACCCAATTGCTACATTTGATCAACTTCAAAAGGAATACAAAGTCCACCCTAAAATCATGGAGAACATTCAAGCTGCTGGTTTCCAGGTCCCAACACCAATCCAGATGCAGGCTATTCCCGTCATGCTTCATGTAAGTTTTCTCGTATTGCATTTTATTACAGGGAATATGGCAAAACTTCTAAAGCGGCCTCTCTTGAGGGTCACGGCAGTGGTTAGTTGCACAGCTTTAGAGATAGATTGACTGCATCATGGTTCAAAACTTACTTAGCTATTACAATATTCTTGATCTGTGCTTTTACTAATGTATTTTGAATTAGTTTGTAGCATTAATATTTCTGTGAATGTGACTTTTGGGTATTTTTTTCACTTTTTCTAGGAAAATATAACACCCTTCTTGTTTTTTCTTGCAGGGTCGGGAACTTCTAGCTTCAGCTCCTACTGGGTCTGGAAAAACACTGGCATTTTGTATTCCTCTGTTAACACATCTGAAACAACCTAGGAACAAAGGATTCAGAGCTCTGATCATATCGCCTACCCGAGAACTTGCTAGCCAGGTGTGTGTTGAGGGGAAGGGGGTTGTTGTCATATTGATGTGTTTCGAAATTTTCACTCTCAATGAGTAAAATAGCAGGTAGTAAATATTTTTTTTTTCCTTTATTAACCTCAGATATCAGAAAAGGCTAATTTAAATGTTTCTTTTGAGTCTCTAGTCTTCTGTGAAATAGCTACATATCTATCATCTCAATCTAATCTAGATCGTTGGATTAGAGGCTCAAGATTCTTTGATCATATTTTAAAACTGCCCAATCCTTAGCTGTTCTTAGTACCTACCCTCATATTTGAGATTGCTACAAGAGATTTATGTTTGTCCCAAACACAGAAGTTCAACGAATAACTTTATTATAAAGCTTTGGTACTAAACTGAAATAAAAATTACGGTTTTGAGCAGAGTTCCATTTTTATTCAAATGGGCAAGGGGGCTTCTGAGAGCTTGTGGGAGCTACATCGTTAGAGTCAAGATATGGTGGTCAAGCCTGTGAGAACTTTCAAGTGAAAATGGAAAGCTGCATTTTATTATGCTAAGAAAACTAGACATCCTTCTCTTAACACTGAAACTCGGGTGATATTTGAAGTTGTATCTTCAGGACTGTTTGCAGGTTTTCTGATTAGAAAAGCTAGTCGGCTCGGTTTGAAAATATAATCTCTTTTGCTGTATTTTCAGACACATCGGGAGCTGGTGAAGTTGGCTGAGGGGACAGGCTTCAGAATACATATGATCCACAAGGCAGCAGAAGCAGCAAAGAAATTTGGGCCCAAGTCTTCTAAGAAATTTGGTAATTGTTTTAATGACTGAAGTGCTTCTGAAAATTTTAAAAATGTCACTGACCTTTCTCTTGTGGCCTGCGTGGCTTTAAAGAGGTTGGTTAATACCACTCAAGATGTGCAATCTGTTGCTCAACACTAAAAAAGTAGCTGGCATGAAAGAAATAGGAAGTGAGCCCAACATTGGTTCCTGTGAAATTGTACCTCTGGCAGATTGGATTGGAACTTGTGTTTCTCAGGACTCTGTTAGTCTTGTTTGTTTTGTGTCTTTTTTTAATGTTTTGCCCCTTTCTTTTTTTTTCCCTCCCCCCCCGTAGATATACTAGTTACTACTCCAAACAGACTCATTTATTTGCTGAAGCAAGATCCTCCAGCAATAGACTTGACCAGGTACTGAGAGTCTTTATCAAATCTGGCTTTGCTGCCACTTTTGCCACTGAAGGGTGGATGTGTGCGTAGTTCTTGTGTCTGTGACGGTGTGTTAGAACTTTTGCCTTCTCCGCAAGTGACTTGCTGATAAGGAAACCTTTGTGTTCCTAGTGTGGAGTGGCTGGTGGTGGATGAATCAGACAAACTATTTGAAGATGGGAAGTCAGGGTTCCGAGATCAACTGGCCTCCATCTTCCTGGCATGCACATCCCACGTGGTGAGAAGAGCCTTGTTCAGCGCCACCTTTGCACATGATGTAGAGGAGTGGTGCAAACTCCACCTTGACAGTGTTGTCCTGGTGTCCGTTGGAGCAAGGTCGGTGTGCAGTTGTACTCTGATTCTCTCGTAGTTTTTTCCTTTCTTGGGCAAATTGTTTGCTTTTTTTGCATCATCAGTCTGCTTGGTTGTACGTCTCTGTTGTTAGTGTTAGTATCGCAGGTTGTTAGTCTCCAGGAAAAATTGTGTAGGCATAAAGGTTTTTCTCACATATTGGGGAAAACGTTGGGTTCCTTTACCCCTTTATCATCAGATAAGCATTAGTCTTAAAAGCATGTACTGGTGAAACAAGTTTGTCGTGCAATATTTCTCATTCACCACATAATATTTTATAGTTTTTAGTGTTTATAAATAAATTAACAGTAGCACACTTCTGTGGGATTTCTGGTTTCAGAAACTCTGCAGCAGAAACAGTAGAACAAGAGCTTTTGTTCGTTGGATCTGAGACAGGAAAACTAACGGCGATGAGAGAGCTTGTTAAAAAGGTATTTTGCTGCTTTCTACTGAACTGAGCTGTGTGTTCTGTCAGATACTCAGAATTTCCTAGGGCAAAGGCTTGTCTGTGACACATGTTAAACCATTGTCCAAATCTGCTGTACAAGAGGAGTAAGTACCCTGCCTGTGTAAACTGAGTGTTCCCCGTTCTTGGTTATATGTTTGAGTCTTGCTCAGGAGCAGTTTGTATTAACAGTCTGTTTAATTTTACTTGGCAGTGTGAGTGGGTTCTTCACATTGGGTGGAAGAAAAAAAGTCTGTTTCTGTGGATTAAAATGCAGTCTGATGCTTAAGTTAGGAACCATTCAATCAACAACAATGGAGCTGAATTTCCTTAGTTCTGACTCCCAAAGATTTGGCTAGTAAAAAATAAAAATCATCCTCTGAGATGGAAAATACTGGGGCTGGTTAAGTCTTTTTAGTAGCTCAGTGCCTGTAACCAATAATGGTAGGAAAAGGACTTGAACCTTAGACAAGCTTATTCTTTTGCAGGGTTTTGCTCCTCCGGTCCTTGTTTTTGTACAGTCTATTGAGAGGGCTAAAGAGCTTTTCCATGAACTTATTTATGAAGGCATCAATGTGGATGTCATCCATGCAGACAAAACTCAGCAACAGGTAGGAGGATCTAATTTCTTTTCCAGAAACACTTTACAACGCTCTTGCTTTTACCTTTCTTTCTGATGTAACTTCAGGTAACTTTGACAGTAGATTACTGCAGGTTTTTATTTAGAGGGTTAGTTTTATTCATTAACATCATGGCAGCTTTTGTGAAACAAGTTCACCTCCCTTCTCAAATTGCTAATTAGGTTGTTTCCAAGTACCTTTCTTTTCCTTTCCTAGAGAGATAACGTAGTGCACAGTTTCAGAGCTGGGAAGATCTGGGTGCTTATCTGCTCAGCCTTACTAGCTCGAGGGATTGACTTCAAAGGAGTGAATATGGTCATCAATTATGATTTGCCAACGAGTGCGGTGGAATACATCCACAGGATAGGTGAGTGATTGTTCACAAATTATGTCCTTTTCCTCATTTCCTGGGTCTTTAATGTAGATGCTCTTGTGTGTGAGCAAAAATCCTGAAACCAGCTGCCTTTCTTGCTGCAGCACTAGCTTCCACGTCGCTTGACCGGTTGATGTCTGGGCTCAACTTTCAGTAAAACCGTATTACTTCTTGTCAGTCTTCTGTGAACCTTAAATATTTAGAAGCTTCAGATGTATCTGTGCTTTTGTTCAATAGGAACAATTTTTGGGGATCGTCTGCCTGCTATTATGCTTAGTATATAAACACACATCAGGAGGCTGGAGCTGTGAAGAGGAATAGAAAAAAGGGAGATGTTTGAAGTGAAATCTCTACTTTTTGCAAAATTTGTGTTTGACAGGTCGTACCGGAAGAGCAGGGCACACAGGAAAAGCAGTCACTTTCTTTACAGAAGATGACAAACCTTTATTACGGAGGTAAATTGGAAACATGATACAGCAAAAATGCTTTTTGTGTTTTGTATAGTTGACTGCTGAGCCGTATGGTTGTGTCTGGTACCACACACCTCGTAAGCACAGAACTGCCATGCTCTGAAAACCCCACAGTACTGTGAAAAGCTCTTACAAATAGGGGGAGAGAACTCTATCACCTTGGTGGACCTGCAAGGTGGTACCACAATATGGGAAAGACTGCCAGCTTTTCGGTTTTAAGGTTTCTTTTTGAAGCCTTTCACTAATGCAGCAAGAGAGAAACTAGCATCTCACTTCTTTCAGTCATGTTGTCAGTAGTGACAACGTGATGGCTGGCTTGGTAGCACCTTTCAGTGACGCTCAGTTATTCTGACTTGAACCTCACTGAGGGCAGGTTCAACAGTCTTTACAACTAACTTTGCTTGTGTTCTGGTTTTCCCGAGTCATTTGCCATGTAGAAAGTATGACTGCCTCATGCTGTGCTTTAGGTTTTCTAGCCCAGTTCTTTAACTTGCTTGTGTCCAAAATTACTTGGTATGATTCTCTGTTTTGGCTTATTGCTTTTTCTTCATCTCCTTGAAGACTGTACTTGCCTACAGTTTCAATTTGTTTAAACTATCCAGATGAAGTCATTGGTTTCATTTAAGCCTTTTGTGTCTCATTGTTTCTTCCTCACCTTACTTCAAACTTGCTTTTGTGTCTTTTATTTCTTGCTTAAAAAAACACAACAAAACCGAAAAACAACAACAAAACAGCCAGTTGTTAGGGATTGCCATTTTCCACCGAAGATGCTTATCTCTTGTCCAAGCACTCACTGCCAGAGTTAATCTCTTCACTCCTCTCCTTTCCAGTATAGCCAATGTTATTCAGCGAGCTGGCTGTCCTGTGCCAGACTACATTAAACACCTTCCCAAACTGCAAAGGTATGTTTTCATTTGAATAGTTTACCAGTTTGTTTCCCATTTTAAAAGCCTGCATGAGTGGTGCTGGGTGGGTTACAAAAGATCTAGTTGTTTGTAGTATAATTGCAGTTTAGCTGTGAAAGGAATTTTAGACAGGGTGGTCGTGGCAGTTTTGTACCCAGACAAAAATGGAAACAAAACGAATTCTCGACTTAGGATTTTCCTGGAGTTAACTATTTTTCTACGAGTTCCCTGAAATCTGCTTTAGACTTGCTAGGCTAATGCTCGTGAATTGGGCTTCTGAAATCCTTTACTCTTTTGAGTTACCTTTAGATAAATTGGTGTTAGGGGTATATGCATATAGATAAATATATTTTTTTTTTTCAGTTAGTGCTTCTTTTCATGCTTTTTCGTAACTTCTAATAATTTGTAAAACTAGAAATCCTTATATATCTATATTAGACTCTTACTAAAATAAAGTTTGTTTGAATGTCTGAAAGATAAGGTGGCTGAACAAATCTTGGCATAAACAATACTGAAAATATATTGGGACCCATAAATTCCTAACAACTAGTAAAGGATTTAATTACCTTTTCTATTTACTTTGGATATTAATTTTTGCCCTTTAAAGTAATTTAATCCTTCTTTACTAAATGTCATTCTCAGCAAACAAAAGAAGAAATTCATTAAGAAACCATTGAAAAGAGAATCCATTCGTACCACCCCTCAGTGCTTCTTAAAAAAAGCCAAATGGAAAACGTAAGTGGGTTTTTCTCAAGGGGAGGTAAGAGATGCTGTTTATCCAGAGCAGGCCCAGCAAGCTTCCTCCAAAGTAAACGATAACATATTTGGATGGACCACCCACTCATCATGATTTTAGGGATGGTGAAGTTTTAGTGTCAGTATCTGTCTGCTGGAAATTGGATGGATGCCATCAGTTTGCCTTACATGGTGCCATGTATCAGGTGATAGCAAGCTGAGTTTAAACCACTGCCTAGCTATCAATTGACACAACGGATCTGCTCCTCTTCTGGCACAGAGCTGGTTTTGTTTTTAACACATGGAGTATCAATACAAGCAGCAGATATTAAATTGTAGACTGGTGTGTAGCAGTTTGGTGTAGTAGAAGTGGTCATAAGGAACAGTACCCACACTTTGCAGTGTTCCTACCAAAGGGTTTATGTTCAGCTGTACTAATGTGATGTAAAATGACTGTCTGCATCACTGCTATATACTTCATCTTTTTTTATATATAATGTACAGGTGTCTTAGCCTCCAATGTGTTTCTTGTAGGAAAACTACGAAGGAAAATATTAAGGAAAAGAAGAAAGTTAAAGAAGGTAAAAACGGCAGTAAATTATAGACTGTTTCAAAAAGCTGAATGGCAGGAGAGTACTCGTGAGCTGAGACTGACACCTGTGTCTGTACTGAAGAACAGAAGAATGAAGAGATCGGCAAAGGCGAAGGGGGCAAAATATTTGTTATGTTTCCATCTGGATGAGGATGGATGTTTACATGCAAGAAAGTCTCTACTGAAACACCAGTAGTGGATTCCTGAATGCTTCTTATAGAAGCTGAAGAGTGTGCTCTTGCAGTAAATGCCTTGTGTTTCTGAACAGTAGTTCAAAAATAACATCTGTTTGTGTTGCTATCATGCAGTTTTATATTGCTCCTTGGAAATACTGCCAGTTCTGGGTTCAGATCATCCCTGTTTATGTGAAATCCTCCTACTTTTTGCTCCTGTAAAGTCATTTTGAAATAACGAATAGTTCTACATGTCTGTAAACTCTAGCAATTTTGTACCGTTTCATATTTAAGCTTCAAAACAGAATAAACAAGGCCATGAAAGATTCTAATACAGACACCTGTCTGTCTATACTGCCTTGACGGAACAGCCCTGCAGGCGTTATTCCTCAGCCTCTTGTCCCGTAAAGGCCTGGCTCCACATATTTTCTGCCTCCTCATCTGCTGATTGTGTTCTTGGTCCACTGCTGTGTCAGAATTCCGGTATTGCAGGAATGGCTTCTCCTTTGCAACTATAATCCTTCCTGAGCAGGCGTTCCTGTACAGGATTGCCTTCTTGCTTTGTCGTACGTAATCCAATTTGGAAATGGATCCCGGGTCTGTATAACGCATTTACAGCAGCGCACTGTTAATTGTTCTGTGAAGTTTTGTGAGAAACTGGTGAAGACTCCCTGCGTCCTGTTTTGCTTGTTTCTGAGCTAGACTGAGTTGGTTTTGCTTTGCTTGTGGAATTGCATCTTATATTTGGTTTATATAGGAAATGCCTTCATTTTCAGATCTATGAACAAATTTGGCTGTCTGCTTTAATAAAAATGCAGTTGTGTGTTCTGGTAAATACCACATTGCCTGTTGCAAGATATTGATGATGGATACAACGTGGAATACGTTTAACAATTTGAGAAATTACCAATATTCACCTCTAAAGGCACTGATAATACATGTGCTTATTCCAGTAGTGGGAGAGAAAACAGCTTTGGATCATGAGCATCTTTGTCTAATTGTGCTGAAAGAAGGTGCTGCCGTTCTCTTTCCGAGGCACTTAGTTTCAAAATGAGAGCTTAAATTTCATTTTGCTTTCTCTCTCAGGCTGGGTTTGATTTTTTTTTTTTTATTATTTTTTTAATTAATTTTAATTTTTTGAGCAGCAGGAGTGGGGGGGAGCAGCCGCTGGGTTTCAAGCTCTCTATCCCCGCGGCCCCTTGCTGAGGGCGGCACTTTTTCAGGGAAAAGCGCTTTGTTTAGGTGCCTCCTAACGTACAGCCTCGGGTTTAAAAGAGTTCTTGAAGAGAAGGCAAGGCCCCTCTCCCCCTTCAGGCCGGCGTCGCCCCTGTGCCCCCCCC